ATCGTAAATTTTACACACACATTCTTTTCATCCTCATAATCAATCTCATGAAAAAAGAATTTCAATTTGCACGTTAGATGTGGTCAAAATTAGTACCCATCCAACAATAAATCTCGACCATACATTTGGTGAATTTCAAGATCTAGGCCTTAACAAAATTCAAAGTCACTGTTTTCTATTTTAGCATTATTAATCTAATGATGATAATACTATTTAAACATCATGGGAATAAAAAAATGCTTTTGAGGCCATCTAAATAAAATGGATGGCTTATATTAATTGGGCTAGAATGAAAACTTTCTAAAGCATTTTTTCAAATTTTTTTTTTTTTATTATTCTTCATAATTAAAAGAGTGTACATTAAAAAATTTGTATCAGACAAATATCTCTAACATAATTTTTGAAGACATAATTTTTGAAGGTAAGTCATTATATATATATATATATATATATATAAAACAAAAAGCCGTAATGGCCTCAAAAAAACCTAACCACATTTTCAATCACCACCATCCCTCCCGCGTGAAGTTCTGCGAACATCTAACCCAACCATATTTTCAATCACCACCATCCCTCCCGCGTGAAGCTCTGCGATCATCTCGCTCTCCTGCTCCTCTGCTGTGCCTCTGCAAAGGGTCGCCTCTCTCTTGCTCTCCCTCTCTTCCCATCTGCAAAACTCGTGAGCTCTGGACCAGGCAAAGCTCTGCGAACGTCTCGCTCTCCTGCTCTCTCGCTCGCCCTCTCTTTGCCCTCTGTAAAGCTTCTGGACTAGGCAAAGTTCTTCTGCAGCAAACAAACGGGTGAGTGACCTCTAGATTGTATCCCCGTTTGGATGTTTTTCTTTGCTCGAACGAATCCAACCCCAAATCAAGACTAAAACCCTTTTTTAAAAAAGAGAAACTCATTTTTTTTTAAAAAACCCCAAATTGAATAGTTTCAATGAAACCCTATATTTTTTCCTAATGAATAACCAAAAATAGGAGAGGAAATCATAATCACAGAAATTGAAAACTACAAATGGGAGACGAAATTTTTGGTTTGGTTAAAAATAAATTTTGGGTTCTAAGTGGGGTAAAATTGCTGTTTTTTTCTTTTACTTTTTTGGATGACGGATTTGTGAATTGTTTTTTATTTTGCTTTTATTGGGTATGAATTTGCATTTTTGTTGTGCAGGATTTTTTATATTCTCTTTTATCAGAGATATGTTGGCTTTTATTTGCTATTAGTATGAGAAGCTGTTTCATGGAGTATGTTGTTTGCCTGTGATTTTTTGCATTCTTTGAACTCAAATTTCGGCCTCCCAAATGCCGATTTTCTTCTTTTTTCTGCTATTTTCTGGTGTAAGTGTTATATATTATGTTTTGCTGTGGAATTGAGATGTCGTTTCATGGAATATGTTGTTGCACTATGAATTATTGTAGTCTTTGAACTAAAAAATTGTTCGATTTCTATAGAGTTTGTGTTTTTTGAACTGAAAATCGTTTGACTGTTGTAGAGGGACCATTGGTTTATATTTATTTATCAATTTGATGGGGTAAAGCCATTGAATCTGATTGCTGTTTGATGCTCTGATCCTCTCTATCTTTAACCCATGGTTTATATTTGTTAATTTCAAAAAATTTCACCAAGTCGTTTTATTATTTGTGAATTTGATAAATTTTCATTTGGTTTGCTTTGTTTTGTTGAGAAAGGAGGATGAGCTCCTTCTAGAATTCATTTACCAAAAGAAAGAGCATCTTTGAATTTCTACTTCAATTTCTTTTTGCACTAGAAGAGGTTGTTTTTAGTGACTTAAAGGATCAAGTTCCTAATGCGTCATGGGCTTCAACAATTCTCTGTAATTTTTATTTTATTTATAAAAATCAAGTCCAAGTTATGACTTCTAAAAGGTGGATTCTCTCTTTATTATGGCCTCTTCAATTGATAATCAATGCTTTTTACTATGGGTCTCAGGAAATCCTCTCCCAGAATACTATAGGTATCTGCATCTTCTCATTTACTGATTTATTGAGTTGCTTTTTTATGAGGGGGCATGTTTTATTGAGTAGCTTTTCCTTCTTTGGACGCTCACTAGAACGCTCACTAGAAACTCCAAATAAAGCTAAGTCCAATTGTAATATGTGAGTTTGAAGTTAGAAGATCAGATTTCCCACCGCACTTTGCTTTTTTGGGTATTGGAAGTTTTTCGAAGGTAGAAGTTTTGAACTGACTGTTTGTGCGTGAATGGAAAATATGCATGTCTTACACATATTTTAGGATATTTTCGTTCCTTTTTTGTTTATTTGAGAGGTCGTGTAATGCATCAACTACTTTATAGATTATGGGACTTCTCCAACAAGATCAAGACAGAAATCTTTTTCTCTACATGGTATGAGAGCCTTGTCCGGATTAATCCGATTTGTTCTGTCATGCTATGTTTTCTTTTTCTTTTTCTTTTGGGTGAAGGCATTTTACAGTGGAAAATCAGCAGATCTGGTGGTTTTCTTTTGAGTACCTTTATGGTTCACTTCTCTGATACATGCTAAGGATCTCTCATCCCTTTCAGTCGCTTGGTTTTCTCATATTGCGTTTGTTCCGTCAGACCTCAAAGTGAGGTTTGAAAATGTCACAAATTTATATTTTCCAAAATTGGGGATGAAATGAGAATGCAGAAAACCTCCAAATTCTAAGGCCTTGGCGTAAAATGACTAGAAATGTGAAAAGTTTTAAGTTTATATTATTCTCCTACAGGAGTACATTGTTCAAATACCCCACCTTGGTTAGACGATTTACTTGGGAGGATTCTTAGATCTGAAATTTTGGAACCACCTAATAATCATTAGATTATTGTTTTCTGTCACTTAGATCTCACCTTCCCAAAGTTAGATGATCTCTATTCAATCTTGACATTTATTTTTTTTTGAAGGGAATAGAGAATGCAATATAGAAATTCTTCTTATTGAGTTTAGCCTATATATTGAAAATATCACTTCTCTAAAGTTTGGGATTCTAAAATTATTCCAATAGTGGGTTTAAGAGGTGGAGTAAATAGACATTATACTCCCAAAAAAGTGGGTAATCTTTTGCCAATTCTGAATATTATTTCTCTATCTCGTACGAAGAATATATCGGATTTGGTTTTGCTTGAGTGAAGCGGGAGAAATATGGGTGGCATCGGGTCAGGTCCGGTCTGGTCGGACCTGGACCTAGACTCGAACATGGAGATGCGACCCAAAAGTTAAAGGAAAAAGTTTATATAAGGATGCTACCTTATAATTTAGAACTACGAATGCCCCTCAAAATCCATCGGAAAAGGTAGTTTTAATGTTGAAAAACCCTTTGATTAATCACCTCGACATCGAGATGTATGACTATGAAAAATAAAAAGATTTTAAGTCTCAGAAATAACGTATTTTACAATATATTATCTGCACCATCCATTTTCAAGATTTTCATATGTTTATAGATCTACTTGATTTTAACCATTTTTTAAATTTAAAATTTTATAATTAGATATAAAAATAGATTTTGAGATAATCCTAAGAACATTTTGCATCACAATTATATACCATGATAAAATTTGAAGGTGCACCTTACCTCTACACCTACAAATGCATCCGTATGCAAACTGCATCCAATAGTAAAATATTTGTGTATTATTTAAATATATTTCATATATCATGACCCAAAAAATATTACCAGACCTAGACACATACCTCAATAGTATTCAGGTCCAAGATTTGGACCGAGACCCAACCCACCGGGTTTAAAAGGCCCATACTGAGACCCCGATCGAATCTACCCCTTAGGTACAGGGTGGGGTCAAAAAGAAGGGAATCCCCTCAATTCCCTCTTGATCACGCTTTCACCACTCTTCACCTACTCTCTCATGGCTATTTATTTATTTGTTATTTTCCTCACCCTTAAAACTAACTAACTTCCCACCTCGAGTTTCTTCAATTCACAAGAACGCACTCTTGTTGTGAAACGCCAAGAGAGTTTTGATCTTTCAAACTATGATATATCTATTTCCCCTACAAATAATATAGAAAGGAAAAGGAAAGAGAGAAGAAAGGTTTTACAGGCTCATGTGGCAGGTATGAACATCTTTTCCTCTGCCCCTCTTCTGATCACCCAGATTCTAGAGAGAGAAGCTGCACTCTGAAACTTCCTCTAATCACCCAGATTCCCTCCACCATAATTCTTATTACTAACCACAATTTTATTTTAGAGAGAGAAACTGCTTTTTTAGCTGCTCCTTTGCACGTTTAATTCTTCAATCTGCAATTTTGTTTTCATGAAGAGTTGAGAGGTGGAAAAAGATGAACAGTGGGTACTTCCAAGAGCGTTTGAGAACCCTTTTAGCTACTAAGCGCTGGGACTACTGTGTGTATTGGAAACCCAGCAACGACCAGAGGTGAGCTCATTCCATTGTTGCTTCTAAGAGAGAGAGGTTCTTCTCTGTTTTTGTTGTAATTGGGGAAAACTTATTTTTTATAAATAAATTATGATTGATCTGAAAATTTATGTTTAGGAGTATTGAATGGGTGGGGTGTTGCTGCGGGGGAGCTACTGAATATGGAGATAGTGAGAATGGTTTGGTGGGGACTTTTGCATCTAAATTTTATTGTAGGGATACAGTTTTGCCCCACCCACTCACCCAGTCCTGCCACCTTCTCTTGGCATCGCCTACCTCCATCCCTTTGGACTCTGCTGTTGCTGGGTAACCTAACCAACCAATTTCATTGATCGATTGATTCGGGATTTTTAAGTTTCCGGCCACCTTAATTCTTATTCTGTAAAAAAAAATCAGGGTTTATGCACAGGTGCTTTTGTCCGGGCAGGCCAGATGGATTAATATTAATACTCAACCCACCCACCTAACGGATTGCAGTGTACTGATACAACTCTTCTTCATTCTTTCTTAGTTTTTGGAAGAGATGGCATTCAGTTTCTTTGTTTGTTTAGGATTGCATTGTACTAATAATACTCTTATTCATTCTCTCTTAGTTTTTGGAAGAGATGGCATTCAGTTTCTTTGTTTGTTTAATCGTGCAGGAAGTGGGGGCTAATACAAATAATAATAATACAAGGGCATTCATTCCTGTTCCTGGAGGAGGCCTTGTGGAGCTGTTTGCTTTTGATAATGTGAAGCACCTGCTCTTTCTCTGTCTTACTCTTTGTTTTGTACTCCATCTGCAATGGAATTCAGAAGGCGACGCCCTCTCCATTTCATCCTTATTTATTTTATTAGTTTTTTGAAAATGCACGAAATAATTATATTATATTATATAAAACAGATATTCTGAAGTGTTTAAGCAATTAGGGAAAAGAAAAAGACATCGAAAAAGGAGTTCTCAAAAGTGTTTGATTTGATAATATGATAACAACAGGTATCAGAGGATCGTGAGGTGATTGAGTTTGTTATGGAGGAGCAGTGGCCTGCAAATTGGCCCCTTGAACACCCTCTCCATCAGGAATCTTGGCAGCAGCAGAGGTAGGAAGCGATGATGATATCTTCTTCTTCATCTTCCGCCATAAAGGAAATACCTTTCCATTTCTCATCGGAAAACTTAACCGGAAACCACCAAAGTTTCGAGCCCCAATCCCCAACAGACCTATAGGAAGATTACGAAAGAAGATACTACTACCACCACCACCAAATGCTCGGCAGCAGGCAAAAGGACTTCCATCACCACCCCCCATGGACTGGTGTCCCTTCTCCTTCGGATTGGGGGTCGTATGGCCAACAGCAGCTGAGGAACAGCAGCTGAGGAACAACAACGTTCTCTTTGATGTCTCTGCCGACTCCATGCTCTCAGATGACATGATGAAGCCTCCAATCTCCTTCCCCAATCTTAAATCGACATCATCCTCATCACAGGTGAAGCAGTAGGGTGAGCAGAGGGGTGACTCCATCTCTGACTGCAGCGAGGATGACGACGAACAAAAGGGAAGGTCCTGAAGGAAACACCAGTCTAAGAACCTGGTGGCTGAGAGGAAGAGAAGGAAGAAGCTCAGTGAAAGGCTCAATGCCCTCTGCTCCCTCGTGCCCAAGATCACCAAGGCACGCCAACATGACAACCCAACCCCTTCTCTCTTTTTTTTTTCAAGCTGTAAACTCTCATTTTTATAATCTGTTTCAGTCTTTTTTCCATCTTCCTCTATTCATCTTTCAACTATGCTCTCATTCTTTTTCGAAGTGAACATATGTAATTTCGTGGGTATGAGATTGTTTGTAGATGGACAGGGCACCCATCTTGGGTGATGCCATAGAGTATGTAAAGGAGCTGCAGATGCTAGTGAAGGCACTGCAGGAGGAGCTGGATGAGACAACTGAGGAAGAGCAGCAGCAGCAGCAGCAGCAGTAGCAACAGCAAGGTAACGGAGGCGATGGTGGTGCTCCTCCGGCTACGACCCCTTCCTCTGATAGCAACAACCATGGCGGCTTAGCGTCATGGAGGAGCGGGTTGAGGAATCCTCATCCACTACTCATCACCTGCTGCATATCCCCAACATCAACAATGACTCTTCTGATGACAAGGCTCAGCAGCAGCAAATGGAGGTATGTCCGATCTCAGAGCAGATATCGCGGCTCGCTCGTTCTCTTCTTCATCTCTCTGCATTACTTAATCTCCAAAATCCACCTAATAGTGAAATAAGGAATGGTGATTTGTTTTCTGTTTGTTTTCAGGTTCAGGTTGAGGTGAACCAAGTAGGCGCCCATGAGTTCAACCTGAAGATATTTTGCGAGAAAAGCAGTGGTGGTTTTGCGAGGCTAATGCAGGCTGTGGATGCCTTGGGCCTCGAAGTAAGCCATGTTAATATCACTACTTACATGAGCCTCATTCTTAATGTCTTCAAAGTCGAAGTATGTCTCAACAATCCTTTCTCTGGGACATAGCCGCTTCCCTCTCGGTTATGAGAATGCAAATTGGTGTGCTTGTGTTGTTGCCAGATGAGGGATAACGAAGCTATACAGGCAAAGCATGTGAGGGATTCACTTCTGGAGCTCACCTGCAATCCCAATGGCTGGCCTTCCCCTGTACCTAAATTGTAGCATGTCCACTTGCGGGAGCTTCCGCCAGCAATCGGCGCCGCCAACTTCTCCAGCACCCATATTTGATACCGTTGTTTCATATACAATGTTTTGAATATTTTTAGTCTAAGATTTTTCTTCGTTCTTGAAACTAACCATATCAAGCAGTTTTAAATCACTCACTTTGTCTGAATTATGAACTTAATTTGTTTAAACTGCATCATGCTATTGTGGGGTTTGAATTGTTTAATGATAGCTTATTACTAATGGTATTCGATATGCAAACCTTGAAACCATTTCATTTCATGCAGATTTTTATCATTTTTTTAAAGAAATCTTATTGGATTAAATTCTCGCCCATGCTTTTACTTTTTATGATACTTAAAAGGCATTGTGGTGAGGATGTGATGCCTTGAGTTCTATTCTTAGTGTGGGCATGAGCAGAGGACCTCTTCCCTCGTGTGACTATTTGTGCATTAAAAACATAAATATATAGGACACAATCCTCTCACACAAAATGCCACAGAGTTGAGACAAAGGTGTTATTAGCAAAGTTCATGGGTGTTTTGTCATAACTAGAGTGGCATATAGATAACAAATTTATCCGTCGAACAACATCTAAGCCGTTCTTGTCTTAACGTAAACATTCATGTTTCTTACTTCTTGCTTTCTCTATTCTTTCAATACGGTTCTTATTTTTTCTCTCTTCATGGCGATTTCTTATTTTCAAATTGGAAGTTCCTCTAGATTGAAGTAACGAACATCAAGTCAAGGCCTAAAGACAAGGGCAAGGCCTGGGCTGTCAACTTGGCGAGGCCATCATTCGAGGAGGGACACTACATTGAGATTAAAACCATGCTTTTGACCCCTCTCTTCCAAGGGGGGCCGAATCATGAAGAGACTTACACAGGGTGTAGGCATCCCGATCAAGAAACCCAACCAAAAAGCATCATGTTGAAGAAAATAAGCAAAAGAATTGATGCACATGGATGGACGTAATGTTTTTATTTTTAATTTTTAAGAGACTTAATTTATTAGAGATAATTGTTAGAAATGGGATTAATATGTTTTTCTTTTTTTGGTTAGTTTGATAAAGTTTAATTTTTAGCAAGTTTTTTTTAAAGATAATGAGAAAGAGAGTCTTTTTTGTTTAGGTCAACTTCTAGGAAGGTTTCTAATTAGATGGGGTTTATTATTTAGTTGGGGATGTAGATAAACGCATCTAAAGGTAATATATTGTTTGGTTTGTTATTATTTAGTAGGCAAATATTTTAGGAGGCTTTGGAAGTGAATAAAATGAAAATGACCCATTATAATAGATGGTTATGTTTTGATGAAAGGAAAAAAGAAACATCAACAATTTAGAGAGAAAGAGAGCCTTTGTGATTTTTTTTTTTTCTTTTCTTTTTGTGTGTTTCTCGTTACGAGTATGTGGTAGGAGGTCTCAACTGTCCGTTTTCGTGCCTTCTTGCGATATCTTCTATATTGTTTTGTTTCTCTCTAAAACGTAACTATATCGCTGGTTATTAGATGCCGGTGATTTTTCATATATGTGAGGTAGTATCTGAGCATCGGTTCTTGTGGATCGTGGTGTTCATCACTAAGGCATCATGGCTGATGAGCGTGGTTAACAATCGGGTACCGGGAATAAGTCCATCCAGCAAGAACGAGACATTCAAGATATTTAGTTAGAAAATTTGAGATGGCAAGTTTAGGAAATGTTTTGGTTATGAATACTGGGTCTCACAATTTTCTAGTTTTTTTTTCAAAAAATAGATTTTTTTATTACTTTGTTAACTTTTTTGTCATTTATGGCAAATCATACTTGTTTAACATTTTTGAAAATCTATTTTTTTTAAGTACCTTTTAATCAATTTTTTGGCAAATATGTGTTAAATGTCAGAATTTTACTTTTAAAGCCTAGAGACTACCCTCGAATCCACTGAAGCACCCAATGGCTTCACTTCTCAACCAAACGAAATTGGATTTGCAATCAAATTTGAATTTTCCTGCAACTAAATTGGACTTGCAAATTAAATTTTATTTGAATTTGACTCAACTAATGTACCCATGTCAGTGTAGTTATTCAGTGGAATTGCATTACTTGTTCTAAGTCACAAAATATCTTTTAAAGTCTATGTATAATAATCGTGAGCCGCATGTAAGAAACTGATACTTAGAGATGAATAGTCAATAGACCATGGTCATGAGAGAGCTAAAATAAATAAATAAAAATTAATGAAAATCTCTTCATTCAGATTCAGAACATTATGATTATCTCAATAACAATACATACAACATAATTTTTTTACAATGGCTACAAGAACATATCGGTACATGATTGCACATTAATGCATCTAAGTAAATGAACAAATATACTTTCTAACAAAACATTCCAATTAAGAAAAAAGGAAATAAAAAATACCACCATAATATTAGATTAAGTCATTAAAGACAAAAAAAATATGTTGCAAGTTTAGATTTTATAGTATTAAAACAGAAGTGGACATAAAGTTAAATATCTGAGTTCCTTCTTATAAAAATTGCAAATTAATAAGATACATTTGAAGATAATTATTTAAAATTTAAAAAATACTTTTTTTATAATTAAATGTTTTAGCAAAATTATTTTTAAAAAATCACTCAAGCAACTAAAAGTTCATATTAAAAAAAAAAAACGAAATGAAAAGTCATGAAATTCATATCTATGATCTCGACCGTAAGAATCAAGCACCAAATTTCGACTTTCCGACCAAATTAGGACTACAATCTTCTGCATAACTCTGTGATCTCCAAAAGCCTTAAAATTTAACAGATAAATGATAGAAAAGGTCCCAAAATCGATCGGTTGGTGGAATGTTTTCAACTCAGAAATGAAAACCTGAGTTGCAGCCCTAAAATACAAAAAACGAGCACCAAATTTTGGCTTTTCGACCAAATTAGGACTGCAATCTTCTGAATATTTCCGTGATCTCTAAAAGCCCCAAAATTTGACTGAGAAACAAAATTGATTGGTTGGCAGAATTTTTTCGATTCAGAAATGAAAAACTGAGTAGCAGCCCTAAACTGTAAAAAACAAGAACCAAATTTCGGCCTTCCGACCAAATCAAGACTGCAATCTTTTGAGTAACTCTGTGATCTAGAAGATCACCAAAATTTGATTGAGAAATGATAAAAAACAGGCCAAAAAATTGATTGGTTGGCAGATTTTTTCATCTCAGAAATGAAAAACTGAGTCGATGCCCTAATATGTAAAAATTGAGCACCAAATTTTGGCAATTCAATGAAATTAGGACTTCAGTCTTCTAAGTAATTCTATGATCTACATAATGCCTAGATTTTTATTCAGAAACAACAAAAGAACGAGCCCAAAATCTCAAGTTGGGCTAAAGTTTTTCAAAATAGTGAAGAACACCAAAAAAAAAGTCAAAAATTTGATTTCGGGTGTATTTCCGGTTGCAAATCCATCAATTTATACACTTAGATTAACTATTTCAGCCAATAGTTGACTATAAAAGGCTTAATAAGCTTGAAAAAGGTGGAAAAAACGAATCAAATTCGAAGCCACGGTTTTTTGTATCAAATAACTAGCTACTATGGGAAATAACGGCAACCAGTGTAAAAATACCCGTATTTCATGATAATGCCCAAAATTACACAAACCAGTTCGGTTAGCAGAAAACTGGCCAATTAGTTAGAAATCTGGCCAACTTGTGTACTAATCGACTGGTTTTGGTTCGGACATTTTAGGGGCAGGTAAAACGTACAACTAGCACCTCAAAATCGGGGTTAACTAGAACCGGGAGGATCCCGGTTCCGTTCTTACGGCTGGTTTCAGTTAGAATTGTTTATTTTTTCTTTCATTGATCTCAAGCTACAAGGTGTAGTCATCTGGATTGTTTCGGCATGAAGTGACCAACAGAAACCGAAGTGGTGGTCCATGTTCTCTACTTAATTATTTTAGTATGCATTATATTGATCCAAAGGAGAGATTGCAGCTCCAAGATTTTATATATAATGGAACAAAAATAATGTAAACACGCATGTATGGTATGTCTGTTAATGAATGGCATTGAGACATGTATTGTTTTCCTCTATGTTTCCTCGTGATTCCAACGATGTCGTAATCTCGATTCCATATTGGTCGATTCCAACTAGGTCGGAAACTCAATTATAAAAATCTAGGAATCTCTCTTCCATTTTTGCAGGGATCTCAATCATATTTTGGTCGAATCTCAATTCCTAGAAATAGAAATCTTCCAGCCGGTGGTGATTCTGCACTTTCGATTTCTAAATCGATTCGGTTTACGAGTTGCTTTCGGTAACTATGTTAAGGATTCTAGAGTGCGGCATCATAAAATGGGTCATTGTAGTATGGAGTCTTTAAAAAAGTGTTGTAAATACAGACTTATTTCCTCTAATATTGATCGTCCTAGTAAGTTTATTTGTCATGTTTGTCAACTGGGAAAACATGTCAAGTTGCCATTTGTTTCTAATAATAAAAGAGCTTCTTCTTCGTTTGAGGTAATGCATTCTGTTGTATAGGGTCCGACACCAACTGCATCTCCTTCTAGTTCCCTTTATTATGAGATATATGTTGATGACTTCTCTAGATTTATACGGATTTTCTTTCTCAATAAAAATCTCATGTGATTGAGGCGTTTAGAAGTTTCAAAGTGATATTTGTTGAAAAGCATTTCCTTGAGCAAATTTTGTACTTTCATAGTGCTGAAGGGGGAGAGTAATCATTTTAAATTTTTAAATGTTTCCTAAGGGATAGTGGCTTGTCCTTATACTCCACAACAAAATGGAGTTGCAGAAAGGAAACATAGATATATAAATGAAATTTGATTATCTCTTATGTTTTGTAGTGGAGTTCCAAAGTTTTTATCGATTAAATGGACTTCAACCTGATGTATTGGATGGAAACTCTCCGTATCTTACACTACTTTGAAGGACTCCTGATTATTTTGTCTTGAGGAGTTTTAGAAGTTGGTGTTATATCCATATTGATAGTAGCCTTAGGAATAAACTGATCATAAGGTAGAAACATATATTTTTGTGGGATACTCATATGATCATAATGGCTATAAATGTTACTATCCACGAACAAATTTTTTTTTTTGTTTGTTTCTATGTAATATCCATATTGATAGTAGCCTTAGCAATAAACTTGATCCTAAGGAAGAAACATATATTTTTGTGGGATACCCAGATGATCGTAATGGCTATAAATGTGACTATCCATGAGCAAATATAAATTTTTTGTTTCTAGACAAGTAACA